ATTAAACTGGGACTCATGAAGAGTTTTGTAAAAGGAAAGAAAAAAAGATGGTAATGGCTTCAGATATCTTTCTGACAAGTTTCCAAAAATCAGTGAAGCAAAAATGAAAAGTGGCATCGTTGTTGGCCCACAGATTCGGGAAGTGCTGATGGGTGATGATTTTGAAACAGTATTCAATCAGAAAGAACTTGCTGCTTGGAAATAATTCCAACTGGTTATTAAAACTTTCTTAGGAAATCACAGAGATGAAAACTGAGCCATGATGATTGATGATATGCTCAATTAGTATAGGAAAATGTCTCTAGGATGTCACTAAAGATGCACTTCTTACACTCCCATTTGGACTTCTTTCCAAATGGTCTAGGTGCAGTGGATGATGAGCATGGTGAGTGCTTCCACCAGGATTGCTCTACAATTGGACAGAAGTATTAAGTGATGGGATTTTATTGTTGGTTTCTACAGCATGAAACTGAGAACTTAAATAAAAGGTGCAACAAGGCAAGCAGATATTTTGTAACAAAAATAATACTATGATGAAAATTTTGAACATAGCCTGAATGTATTTTCAATATATGGTCTTATTATATATCCATTGCTTTTTTAAACTGGTATTGCTATTATATATTGTTTTTGAACATTCTTAAATGCAATTTTCAATAAATAAGTAAAGTTATTAAAGAAAAAAATTGTTTTTTTCATGATATATAAGAATATTTTGAATAAATCTATCATAACTTAAAACTAGAGATTATAAGTAATTTTCAACATGATATTTTAGAATGAGCCTTGTCAAATTATTCAGAAACAGTGGCATTTTTTTTTCTAGTAGCAGAAATTTTTGTTGTTGTTGCCTGGTGTAATTGAACAGATAATAATTTCTCGTGGGTTAAATAAGTGGTATTGATAATGATAACACAAAACTAAAAAAAGATGCAATGCATTCACATTGCCCCAAAAGTAACAGTGAATGAGAGTTAGACCTGTGAAATTCAAAACAAAGTATTTGTAATACCTCATAGTAGCAAGAATTCAAGTGGTATGTTAATATTATTGGCAACAGAACTGCCAAAAACATACCAGACTAAAGTCAGACAAATCAAGCTAAGTATTTACAAACTAAAAAAGAAAATGATAAAAGTAGTAATAATATATGTAATAGAGGGTGATTCAAAATTATCTTTCCTATTGTAAAATACAATAATTAAATAACTAAAGAAATACAACCATGCAGTTTTTAACATCTTGTAGCCCAACTTAAACAGTTTCTATTAACATGTCAGTAGATTTCCATTGTGTGCTCCATTAGTGGCTCTTGGCAAATCTAACTGATATTCAATTTCAGTCTACGTTTTTTGAGATATGTCCACAATTACAGTGGCAATGACATCTGTTATCCTGGTCTTTAGCTCTGTGATATTTGCTATTGAGGTTTTGCAGAAACACAACCAAAATCATGTGATGCATACTTTTCCACCATTTTGGATGTCATACTAGAGTCTACAGTATCCTGATACACCATGTGTAAGATAAACTCAGAGTTGAAAGTGCGATAAATTATGTCAGATACTTTGTCACTGACGTTATCTGAGGATGTTAAGCATCTGCAGAGAGAATATCAACAGCAATACCTGGAGAAGCTGAAGATAGCAGGCTTGCAAAGTGATTTGTACGTTTTGGCAGATAGATTATTTTCCGACATTTTTTTCATTGCCTGGTGTGTATGAAATGTGGCCGTATTCTTTGCTGCTCATCTTTTCTGGGGTGACTTGATGTGAGAAAACACGGTAGGAATATAGTCAGGGGAGAGTGGGTGATCACTCTTGGCACCTAGAAATTTAATTAACAATATTATATATATTGGCAGCCTGTCTGAAACTATTAATATTCTGATGTAAAAAATAATTGTTCATGAAGAACTGAATTAAAATGAAACTAGTTCTGATCTGTTTGGCTTCATATGGTAAAATTCTAACATTGAAATGTCATTTAGATATATTGTGACGTACTGATAAAGTTTATTGCATGCCAAATCTAAGTATATATGAAAATATAATAAAATATCATACTGAAATGACCATGTTTGAGCCAAACCACAAGGCAGAGGTAAGGCTTCTGATAAGTTTGTTTGTTGTGTTTTTTGTTTCATTTTGGATGATAATGCAGGCCAATACTGTCATGTTATCAAAACGTTTACCTGACTTTAGGGTTGGATGATCATTTACATTTTTATCACATAGTTTAAAAAGGATATATTTATCAGAATTTTATATATATACTATTGAAAAATTAAAATTCATACCTGCTATAAAATGTTTGCTACACAGACTGCTGTAGTCTGATGATTCCCGATATTTCCGATTGACAGCTGAAATCCAAAGATAATGTCATTTAAGAAAAGTAAAGTTCACACTGCTAAGCCTGGAGTAAACACGTGGTAGCTTGATGTTCACAATGGGCAAAACCTCGGGATTTCCCAGCTCATGACATCACCTGCAAAACTTCAATAGCTGTGTGATACACAATGTTTTTAACATACCCTCAAAGAAAGAAGTCTAGTAGATTGATTTCTGGTGAATGTGGAGGCCACAGAATTGGTCCACCATGCAAGCTAAAGATAAAAGAAAAGTTTTTTTTGTGTGTGTGATAACTATAATAAATAACAGTTCAATATTATTTTGTAATAATCTAAGAATTAATGTAGACCACAGATGAAAAGAAAAAAGGCTTAGATAACAGCATTTCCATTAATCAGTAAATACTCATTAGAAACAGTTTCAAAAGCTAGTTGACTGGCAGAAATTAAAGCCACCAGTCAGTTTTACTGACTGCAAAATTTATGTGAGGTGCAGCTATTTTAATATGTGTGTATATATTAAGTCAGTCTTACTTCCAAAAAGAAATATTTAAAAAATTCCCTATCTTCATTTTTTTCTGTGTCACATGATGTGTCTGAGCTCTGATTTCTCTACTTCAAAATTTTCTGACATCAAAAATAGGCTGCTGCAGTTTCCAACAAATTAGAAATACAAACTATACATAATTACAAGCAGTAATATAAAACTTGAACCTTCTTGACTTGTCAAACCCATCAGAGAAGCTCTCCTCACTCTCTGTCTCTGACTCTTGGGATTGTTTACTGATCAGCTTTATAAGACTGATGGATATGTTTATGACTAATAAAAAAAGCATCTTATAAGTGAGGTATAAATAATTATACAACATCACGTGCATTTATGTTTGAGTCTAAAAGTAAACATGGCATTGGGAGAATTATTTGTCTAAAGATGTGGTAGTAAAATACTTAAAAAATTATTTTGTAAGTGTAATTTTGTTTTAGATTATATACTTTGATTTTTGCTACTATACAAAATTATGTAATTCCTTAACACCTAATAATTTTTTTTTGTCATATGTACAAACAATTTAAAAGCATTTGTAACTGTTTTAAAATTTATGAAATTTGTTTAATGTATTTATGAAATGTACAAATTTTGAGAGATTTGCTTGGATTTTTTTTTTTGCAGCAATCATCCCAAAAAAAGTGCTTTATGTTTGTATTTTTTATTTTATTATTTCCAGGTATAGATATTTTATTTCATGTAAACCATATCCGAATTTGAATATATACTGATGTTTTTATTCCCATTAGGCCACAGGTGACAAAGTGTGTGTACTTTGTGGTAAGAAAGGTAAATTGATCATTTGTGACCTGTGTCCCAAAATGTACCACATTGATTGCTTAGACCCACCCTTGTCAAGGTAGGAGTAACAAAATTTCTTTAATAATGTAAATGTAGTTAAGAATTGTTAACCATTTCTGATTTATATTTATATGTTTAAAAAGCAGACCAACAACCCAAATTATAACTTAATGGCTAAAACAGATACTTACATGGTGAATTAGATTAAAATAAAAGATGCAGTCTTTATTTTTCTTTGTAATTGCCTGAGTATTTCCTAGTCTTTCCTTCTTATCTCAATTAGTATTCAATCTTTATGTCGATTCGGTTCAAAAATGTTGTTTAAATTTTTCTTCAGGCCACCCAAAGGAAAATGGACTTGTGTAAGCTGTAAAGCTCAGGTACGCTTAATTTATAAAAAACTATTAAACATTTAAATAAAATGGTAGATCAATTAGAATGTATTTAAAACTACAGTGTTTATCTGAGGAAGTGATTCACTCACTATTAATTATTGAATTTAACAAATTTCCAAGCTGAATTAAAAATTATAACTATGGTAGCATTTATTTTTTTTTTACTTTTGCTGTTTTATTTGCTTATAGCTACATTAAATTCAGTGTATATTTTATTTTTAAAGTCATAAGCTTCCAGTTTATTTCTCTGTATAAATTACCCTTCTTATATAACAATGTATGGCAATACATAAAGATATAATGCATTACCAAGATAAATGGAAAATTTACAATGATTATGTTTAAAATCAACAAAGTTTATTTACATATATTTGTGCGTGTGTGCTCTATTAAATCTTAGATGGAAAAATACACCATTAATATACAGCTATGGAAATCAAAGACACCTTACATAAATTTCCATGTGACTTGAAGTCTCAGAATGCTTTTTTATATTACAAAAAACTTGCTCATGATTAATGCTGTAAATCACACTATATAACTTACAAGTTTGCAAGCAGTTGTTGTAATGGCTTGTTACAAACAAAATTATCAAACCTAACTGTACACTAATTTAGTTTTGATTCTGTTTAGGAGTATGTATCTGTTATCTTTCATTTAGTGTTATTGTTTTTTATATGTATTTACTATGAACTTTAACTTTGTAATGTCTTATTTCAAAACAAGTTACTGATTCAATTTCTTTGGATGTCTTTTAATTTGTTATTATATCTTCTGCAATTAAATTTTCTTGTTAAAACTTGATGTTAGAAAAAATGGTTGAAAACGAAATTTTTGAAATAACAGATTCTTAATTTTTAGGATTATATTATGTTTTAACACCTGCCACACAAGCCAGCCCAAAGGGGGGGGGGTCATTCTGAAAACTGGTGATTTAGGGGTTATTTTGATAGATCTCGATGAATGAAGCTTGACACAACTTCTAAAATGAAAAACTAAATATTAGTGAAATATGATATGATGAAATCTATATGGATTATACTATGGTGGTACCATACTGGGCATTATACCATCCTTCTTATAATTACTTTTCATCACAAAAATAATATTTTTAATTTGGGAATTGCTCAGGAAATCATCTTGTAATACATCGTGCACCTGCTTCAACTTCAACACTGCATCTTTGGGTTTTACTGTGCCATTACTTTCACAAAATATTGAAACTAATAATTTCTTGTATATGATTCCAACCCCCTCATTTTAAAGATAATGATACTATTGTGCCCATTTTTTTGTTTCACTGTCAATGCAGTAATCAATTGACAAATCTCTGATTCAGCTGCTATGTCAAATTGATTGGGATATCTTTGAATAAGCTCATCCGTCAGGCATAACTTCTATAACAAATGAAGGAAATTTCCCATCAATAATGTTTATGTCCTTCTCTAATTAGTGACTGACAAAAGTTTTAGTTATCATAGATTGAAGCACTAAACATTACCGGAATTTAACACCTGCCACCTTAAGAATGGTAATCTATTTTTGTAAGAAGTATTTGTATGATTTGGACCAGTTCGATTAATGTATTGGCAATGTATCTTTACATGAATTCTCCTGATTTCCAGTCTCAGCCAAAGAAAACAGCAAACAGAAAATACACTAAAAGACAAGGAAAAAGATAAAGAAAAGGATAAGGAAAAAGATAAAGAAGTACCAAAAGAAAAAGAAGCTACACAATGTAAAAAGTCAGAAAGTAATTCTAGTAATAAATCCAAATCCAGTGAAAGAAAAGAGAAGTCAAAGCCTCAAATTAACAAGGAATTTACTTTAGCAAGGTAGTAAATAGAGGTGTTTATATATGTATATATATAACATGTGCTACTTTAAAATCAGAATGTAATAATGTTTGATGATCACCTTACAATCTGCAAAATACTATTTTATGACTTTAAGACTTATTTTGGAGATTTTTATACTTCAGCTGTTATAATTTTTATTGGACTCTCATTTAGAATTGAACCTTTGCTGTAAAATATTGTATAAGGAAAACTAAGCTCAGTGTAGTACTGAATTGGTAAAATTTTAATATATTTGTAAATGTTACTTTAACACTGTGCAACTGTTTTGCACTTGAAGCCCACTTTATAGCACTTTCTAACCCTTGTGACTTAGTCGTAAGTCTTGGAGCTTATATCACTAAACACTGGGTTTTGATACTAGCAGTGGGCAGACTACGTATAGATCATTTTGTATCTTTGTGCTTAACTCCAAACAAAACACCACTTTCCACACATTTTAATTTATTTGAATACTTATGAAACATGTTACACAGTTTTTGAGTAATAGTTAACTGCTGAAACACAATTTGAGATGGTATTTTTTTTTGTTTATGAAAGCTTGTCTTTAATTGTGTGGAAGCTCAACATGCGTGTGTGTGTGTTTTTAAATGATAAAAATCAGGAAGATAAAAATTATGTTTACAATTTAGAAAAGAAATCAACAATAAAATAATTAGAAAACTTTCTAAGGATATTGTTGAACTTGCAGGAAGTATACATATTGTATCAGAGTTAATAAAAACATTTTGAAAGAATAGGTGGAATAAAAAGTGTTTGACAATTAATATGCAAATGAATAGATAGATAATTAAAAACGTCAAACTTAAAAAAGTCCGACTAACCCTCAAATTACCACATCAATAGTGGTGAGATTCACATATTGACTAACTTTTACACTTTTTGTCTGTTACAACACTCAGTGTAAATATTTAACCCAAAAATTAGTGAAATAATTCAATTTTATGTATAACACATAAGAAACCCCAGAATTAATTAGTAGGATTAACTGCAATATTGATGTTATTTTTGTTGATATTTTTTATGTGACTCTTATGTTACTAGGGGTCCTGAAACCAACAAAGTCAAGGATCTATGATCCACAAGAAAGTTTGTACACAAGTAATTTAGAAAAAAAAGTGTTTAAAAAAACTCATGTGGTCATAATTATTAAATTCTTTTATTTCTCTGTGTGTTAACATCAAATTTTAAGCATTGCATTTTCAAGTTGACATTTTATTCCATCTGTATGCTGAGGTTTGAACATTCACAGTTTTTGGTTTGGGATTATGTGAAGTTGTGTTATAAATAGTGACATGTCAAATTTAGATTCAACTTATAAAATCTCAGATTGTTATATAAACATGGTGAATAGGAACCTTTATTCTAAATGTTTATTAAAATTTCAGAAACTTGTTGGAGGAACTAGAAAAACATGAAGATTCCTGGCCTTTCCTTCTTCCAGTCAAAACCAAACAGTTTCCAACCTACAAAAAAATCATCAAAAAACCAATGGATTTTAGTACAATAAGAAACAAGTTGGAAGGAGGATTGTAAGATTCCTTTATTTTATTAAACTTGTGCAGATTTTGGAAACTTAAAGTATTGTACACAATGTACACTTTGCAAAAACAAATCCTTATCTCTTTATATTTTAGCAGATTTTTTGATGTTCACAAACAGTACATTAAATATTAGTCTAGGCTAGCTGTCCCCAAACACCAAGTCTGTAGTTTAAAATTTTGTTGGCACTTGAAAGTGATCTGTGTAAATTTTTAAATTGTTATAAAATTGGTAAATTTAGTTAATATATGTTGATTGTGTTTCTTGTTTTTTGTGTAATTAATGATTTGCAAAAATTTCTTATGTGAGTGTGCTAGCCCCATCTGCTACAAACGTTTGGAAACAACTGCTTTAGTCAACTATTATAAATCAATGTTTTACATTATGTATATTTCTGGTATTGTGTAATAACGAATTACTCAGAGAAAAATACATAATTTTTGCAAACAAGCTTACAAGTTAGAAAAATACATAATTTTAAATGTTATCTTTATTTTCACTATATTACCAATGCTATCTTTATTTATTTTTTTGTTTCTAGTATAGTGGAATAAAGAAATACCCAAAGAAAAATACAAACGTTTCCTTTGAACAAGCTTACAAATTAAACAAATAGATAAATGTGATCTTTATCCTCACATATTACTCAAGGAAAAATACAAACGTTTCCTTTAAACAAGCTTACAAATTAAACAAATGGATAAATGTGATCTTTATCCTCACATATTACTCAAGGAAAAATACAAACGTTTCCTTTGAACAAGCTTACAAATTAAACAAATGGATAAATGTGATCTTTATCCTCACATATTACTCAAGGAAAAATACAAACGTTTCCTTTGAACAAGCTTACAAATTAAACAAATGGATAAATGTGATCTTTATCCTCACATATTACTCAAGGAAAAATAAAAACGATTCCTTTGAATAAGCTTACAAGTTAGACAAATAGATAAATGTTATGTTAGTTCTCACTATATTATCAATGTTTACTTTATTATGTCTTAATTATTCCTTAAGTGGTTATAGTGTACTGCAAATAGATTTATGTATATATTCTATTGTCATATTCAATTAGGCTTAGAAAGTATAATTTTTTCTTTTTGTAGATACAAAATAAAGGAAGAGTTTGCTGAAGAGGTGCGCCTAATCTTCAACAATTGTGAAACTTTTAATGAAGATGAATCCCCTGTGGGAAGAGCTGGTCACAGTATGAGGGCATATTTTGAGAGCCGATGGGCAGAACTTAATTCCACTTGAGCATACCCATGGTCACAAGTGTTACTTCTGATTGAATAGTTACTTCCACCAGGTTGAGCTGCTTTTTTTTTTTCTTCTTCCTTTTTCTTTTTTTTAAATTTTTTGAGTGCAGAAGTGCCTGGAATTTGGGAGACAATTTTGTGTAGTTCAGGTTACACCTGTTGAAGTTAGTGAATCTGTGTGTCATTGTGTTTTATGCAAATTTGGTAAACAGACAGTCTATTTACTTAGTGTTGTTCTGTGTCTATGTATAGATATGTACGTCCTGTTTTTAACGCACACACCAGGAAAATAGCTCGTCAAGTCTACTTGTTCCAGTTCTTTTATGAATTGTTAGTGCCACCTAGTGGTTGTATATGCATTTTGAAGCCATTATTGCTGGTGTGTAAAAATAAAATACTGCTTGGCAGTGGAAATGACACATCTATACTCAGTCAGTACCTCGTTTCTCCCACTTCTAAAAAAAAACTTATCACCTGCAATGCAATCAGGAAAGCCAGGCAGTAATGTATTACTCTTGTTTCTGTAAGCAGGTTTTATAACCCAGGGTATTTAAATAATAACTAAACGTTGTGTTTGAGATACTTTTCTTTGCAGTGTGAATATAGTACTAAGTGAATCCTACAACAAGCCCTTGTATATCAGAAATTCTTAGATTTCTGTTTTCAACATCTGCTGTTACAATAGGATAGACTTCATATTCCTGTATTGTGTTGTAGAATATAAAGATTTGGGACCTATTTTTGTATGAAATTTGTCAAATGACCACTAACAGTATAGGGGCATCCATTGATTCACAAAGTTCCATTGAAATAGTTTTCATACATACATAACTGTATGTAAGTTCTGAAATATATTTGTTGGACATGTGTATAAAGTTTTTCCACTATAATGGATGAGATGGACCAAAGCAAGGACTATGTGGAAAAGTGTGGGGGTGGGGGGTTATGACATAAGTGTAGTTTATTTCTCTCTTTTTTTTATTGAATCAGTTAGATTGTAGTATCATGTTACTTATCCTGTATGGTGTGAAAAAACTAAATGTATGTATAGAGCAGTGTAGGTATTTGGTGACTCATGTGAGGTATAGTGTCTAGCTTTCTGGGGCACTTGTTATTGTATTAAATTTTGCTTAAGTTATTTATTAGTATTATATTTCATATATATCATCCACTCATAATTATCTTAAGAAGATTTTCACAAATTAAACGATTTAAACAATACGAGAGATGTATACAACCATCATTGATTTTTTGACAATGAGTTTTTAAGTGCATCAACATGCCATGTAATTAAATGTCCTTATTAGTCCTCACAATGAGAGGGTTCATTCCCATTAATTAGGCTACCAGAATTTTCTTTTTGTACAATAATTTTTTATATGTAATTAGACTATTTTGATGTTATTTTACATTCTATTGCTTTCACTCTCCATCTTTAAAGAACTAATTTCCTTGTAACTTATCATAATTATTGTTTTCCCAGTATCTTCTACCCTAGAATGCTCCCTATTGGTTAGTGTTACATGTTAATGTAATAAAAAAATTTTTGAGTGAAATTATTCTGTACTACATTGCTTTAAAGTGCTATTTAAATGAGTACCCTATCCCACTTGCTATAGGCTATTTGGACTATAAATTAAGCTGATTTATTACTCAGTAGCTAATAACATTAGCTTCAGGCTAGTATGTTAGTACTGATGACAAACTATACAAGAATATTATTAGGTTCTACAATAATTTATAAAGTTCACTGGGTCCAATGTTTAATACAGAACATGTTCACTGTACATTGAATTTTTTTTTTGTTTTTATGCTTGAAACCATACTAATCATAATAGGGTGAATTCTCAATGGTTTAACATACTCAGGTGAAAAACTAATATCAGAAAGTTGAAAAAAATTCCATTGAATAGTTTCTCATGAATAGATTAATATATTTCATGACCTGTGGTTTTGTCACACACATTTATTAGGCTAATTTCATTTGCTATTACAAAGAAAGGGTTAAACAGTATAAAGAAAATGTTCTTGGGCCAGGTTAAAAAAGCTTTGAATTATAATTGGTTTATTTAAATATGGAGATAGTAAAATTTTAACTTCCAGTAAATATTGGTGAAAATCCTGTCAAATTATACTTTTATCTGGACTGTTCTCTTTCATTGTAACATTATTGGACTAAAAAACTGAACAGCTTTATTGTTATTAAAGTTCGCTGAAAATATTATTCATAAGCTCCAAAATAAAATAATTTGACCTATATTACATAAAAGGTTAAGTTATTTGTTACTTTTGTTTACACACTACATTTATTTTAGTAATCATGAAAAGCAGAAAAAGAGTAGATGAAGAATATGAAAAATTAGTAACACACTATCTCAAAAACGACATAATTGTCATACACAATTATTAATTGTTGTTTAATGCTATCATATATTATTTTTGCATCGACAAATTTAAATTGTTACAAAAAAAAGTAACAAATGAACTTTAGAGAATCATGGGAAAATTTAAATGAATCAAATGCACAAAAGTTCAGTTCACAGATTGTGATTTAGTGTGATTAAATTTGTTTTATGAATATTAAATGAGTATACTTTTTGATATAGGCACATTTTTCAAGCAATTTCAGCTTTGTAATACAAAAAATAGAGTTAATAAATTATAATACATTTCGTTTTATATGTATGAATTAGAAAGATTTTAGCACACAATATTTCTTTTGATAAAGTCAGCCTTGCTAGAGATAGTGATTTTAATTATGTAATATTCTTTTGTGTGTAAAATGAACCAGTATGTTGTTGTTTCAGTTTCTGCTGAATTATACAAGCTTTCTCTGTGTTCTTAAAGCAAATCTGTTGAAAATTCAAATATTTTCACAAACTATTTTACAAATCTTATTAGCCAGGTAAATTATGTAATTTCTCTAAAAGAGTTAATGAAAGTTATTCTGATAAAAATTAGTAAACATATAGCTTAAATAAAATGTAGATTTACGTTTGGAGTTAATTTTCTGTGTGAATTGAAAATACCATTTATCTTGTGAAAAATTAATATTTGTTTGCATTTTTTTCTGAACTACCAAAAGTGAAATTATGTGTATAAGTTATAAAATAAAAGTTTTCTCCCAACTGTCCACACTTCTAATTAATTTTAATGCAGTTTTAGAAATGTAATTTGGTCAATCTGTTTATCAATTTAGATCGCATTTTATTCAGAAAAAAATGAAAATTGATACATGTATCAAAAGCTCAACTTATTGAATGTGAAACATTTTTCAACAGAATATGTTGTGCTATTTTGGGTGTTATTTAATACACCATGTAATGTACCTGAATAAATTAAGAGACACAACTGAATATTGAAAGAGAAATTTAACCAACATAATTTCGAGAATTTCAAATGTGACAATAAAGTTATTTCTCAATCTCTTTCTTTCCAGTTTGGTTTCTGTTATATTACAAGGTGAAATGTGTAACACTGATAACCACAATAAAATATTGTTTTTAGAATACTGTTGAAAATTTTGTTTTCAAATAAAATGTGAACAGCATTTTATGGAGAAAAAACTAAAGGTTAAAAATCTAGTTTTCCATATTTTAATTTTTCTTTCCCCATAAGTGCTGAAACTCTGGTGACTAGTTAGTAAAATGTAAAAGGTTCCAACTGAGTATGGGAGCCATGGTTAATTATGTGAGCACCCACATAATTAATATGGTTTTCATACTCAGTTGAGTTTTCTTTTTATGGAAGTTGTAGCAGAATAATTTCCACAGTGCTCTTCAATTTACTAACTGTTTATTCTTATTATTAATAATGATAAAGATTGCTTTACAATAAGACATGAATGAAATATATATATATATATTGAAGATCCATTCCTGAATTTGCATTTAGTACAAAAAAATTGTAATATATTAAAATTGCAAGTTATTAAACACAACATAAAAAGGAGAATTTGAGTTATGGTATTAGGTCGTCAAGAAATTAATGTCGCTTTTATTAGATGAAAAAATCTCGAACAACTTATATATCAAAACAAAACATTTATTAAATGAAATAGTCTCCATTCTTATCGATGATGTTTTTCCATCTTCAATCAGGTTGTTAATGCGCCAATTAAAGAAATCACTTGGCTTTGTCCACTTTTTTTCACCTTCCACACTTGCAAACATTTTCCCATTAAGATAGTGTTGCAGCGAACGAAAAGGATGGCAATCTGATGGAGCCATATCTGGAGAATATGGTGGGTGGAGGAGAACTGCCCAACCCAACTCCATAATCTTGTGTTGCATCAAACGTGTCACATGTGGATGAGCATTGTCGTGGAGAAGAAGAACACCTTTCCGAATGAGGAGTGAAGGGCTTGATTTAAACGTTCCAGTTGCTAACTATAGATCTCTGCGTTAACAGTTCGCTGTGGATTGAGGAGTTCGAAATTAATTACTACTTTGATGTCCCACCAAATACAAAGCATCACTTTCTGCGGAATTGGTTTTTGTCTAGGACCGAGCCATTGTTTTTGCTGTTTAATATTCGCATAGATAATCCATTTTTCATCACTGGTGACAATTCTGTCCAAAAATGGTTCACGTGCGTTACGTGCCAGGAGAGACGAAGCAACATTCAAACGTTGGAAATGATGATCATCGGAGAGTTCGTGAGGCACCCAAACACCATCTTTATGGAGTTTTCCCATATTCCTTAGATGTTTAGGTATTGTTTCATGTAGAGACATGCAATTTCAGGGCCACATCAC